TATGCTGCAATCATGCCTAGAGTTATGGATCTGTAACTGCTCTATATTCAGTTGTTGTTGTGGTTGTTGTGTGCCTTCAAGTCATTTCCAACTTATGGTAGTCCTAAAGAAAACCTGTCATGGGGTTTTCGTGACTTGCCCAAGGTCACCAAGTGGGTTTCATGGCTGAGCTGAGATTTGAACCCTGGTCTCCGGAGCCACAGTCCAATGCTCAAACCACTATACCACACCGGCTCTTTCAGTTATACTATGCAGTCAGAATTGTGGCGCTGTTGCCAGGATTGCAGATACCCTTTGAATCTTGTCTTAAATTCCAAGGAGCTGCTTTGTGTGATGGAGGTTGGTTCTGCTAGCAATTGGGGTGTAGGAGGAGGTTGTTTCCAGCCCCATCCCACCACCATGTGTGGCTTTTAACAATCAGAAGCAGGGCCTGCTCATAATTGTTTCATCACATCACAGACTGTTGGCAGAAGGTCTCCCATCAAAGTACTAACCAGGGCTGGCTCTGCTTAGCATCCATGGTCAGACAGGATCTGGTGCCTTTAGGGTATTTAGGCAAATGTTGCCTCCCCAAATTTTAGTGCTCCATTTTCTTTAGAAAATGGCATTCTTTCAGGTGTTTAAAGATGGCTTCATCTCATCTCTCAATCTTCTCTTTTCTTCAGGCTAAACATACCAAGCTCCCTAAATTGCTGCTCATAAGGCTTGAGTCTGGGAAATGGGATGACAGGGGCAGAGATCTGGTGACATTTTGCCTTTCTCATTCCATAGAACTGATGAAGCATTTCAGGGCTCTTCCAGCTCAGTCCAAAGAAGAGTGAATTCTCACAGTATTACTCCTTGAGTTTTGCCAGAGTTTGCTGGGTATTCAGCGCCTCCATGTCTTCATTCCGTTCTTTTTGTGGGCCCTTTGTAGCAGTTTCTTGGGGGTTATTCAGACAGTGAAAATAATCTGGGTTGAATCTTTGAGCCTTAGCACATTATTAAACAAACCCGTGTGTTGTTTTTTCTCCCTCTGCATGACTCTTCATCCTCTTCAGGTTGTAAAAGTGTGATAGAGCGTTTTTGCAAAAATTTGTCATTTGGGCAAAAATGACATGTAAAAGCATCATTTTTGCCAAACGGATTATTTCAGATTGGCAAATGGGACACTTGTTGAGATTTTTATGGCTCTCTCTCATGCTTTTTACAGGACGTCATGCGGAGGGAGAGAGAAAAACATGTGTTTACGTTTGCCTGCCAGTTTTGTTTAATAAAGCGATAAGGCTCTTTGTTGTATTTCTAATGCATTGGGTTAAGTTTGAGGTGGGGGCTGCCAAAAAAACCCCACTTAACCTGGGATAATCAGTATCGGGTTTTCCCCTCGAAAAAGATCCACATCATCGACTGTGTGAATAACCAGTGCGACTAGACCTGGGATAAAACTCTGCATGCCTTGAATGTGTTTCAAATACATATTTGTGCCCATTGTTTCTTTCTTTTTTGGAAACTTTCCAGGGACCAGTTGCAATGGCTCCAAGATAATCACTTTGAGTAGTGCTGAACTACAGCACTAGATCTCTTTTTTTAAAGGAAAAAAAAAGAGGAGAAGAAAAAGGAACATATACCAATATATTTAAGAATTAAAAAGAAATTCACTTGACAGTAGGAATAAAATGTAGCTGGTGCCCAGAATTACCAGAAAATAGTGTGGGACGATATTGCTATCAGTTGGGGTCCTGTTAACTTATGCGTGAGAGCCAGTGTGGTGTAGTGGTTTGAGTATTGGACTACGACATTGGAGACCAGGGTTCAATTCTCAGCTTGGCCATGAAACCCACTGGGTGACTTTGGGCAAGTCACACACTCTCAGCCTCAGGGGAAGGCAATGGCAAACCTCCTGGAACAAATCTTGCCAAGAAAACCATGTGATAGGTTTGCTGTAAGTCTGAAATGAATTAAAGGCACACAATAACAACAACAACTTATGCCTAAGTCTAACTTACATTATTATAATCACTTTTTGGGTTGTTGTAGAAGTTAGAATCCCCTACCAACTGTGTAATGACCAAAATCCCTCCCAACCCACCTTTTATGTGGTGCAGCCTCTCTAAGGTGGACACTTCCATTTCTTTAGAGAACTTGGGGGTTTGTGGAGATGTGTCTAGCTAGTTTCTTCTAGCTAGATGTGCTGCAAGGACATCATCTGCAGGGATCTTCTAATAATTCCTTGAGATCTTTGTAGATCCCTTTACCACATGTCCTGCTACAGAAAAATAGATGGACACACCTCCACTGAACCCCATGCCTTCCAACTACATGGAAATGGCAGTGCTGGCAGTACTGGTGGCACTGCATTATTTAAAAGGTGAGCTGGGGGAAGAAACATGTTGTCAGCATGGGCTTTCGTAGACTAGTCTACTTCCTCAGATGCATATAGTGGAGTGGAATATGCATCTGAGGAAGTAGACTAAGTCTATGAAAGCTCATGCTGCTAAATTCTTTCTTTCAGTTAGTTTCAGACATGCTAGAAGATCTCTATACATACTGACTAACAAGGCTACAGACTAACAAGGCTATATCTTTGTATTAGTTAGCTAGTTAGTTAGTTTCATGTTTATGCTGCCTTTTGTCTTGGAAAGGGACCCAAGGTGGCTCACAGAGATGTAGCTACATGCAAGATGGACATCTCTTGATGTGGGATTCCAGTTGCCATTTATTTATTTTTTTTAACCCCAAGAACTACAGCTACAAATCCTTCAACCTCTTGACACATTAGCTTCAATTGGAGGAACGCTTAAATTAATCTGGAAAAAAACTGTGTTCCCAAATGTTGTCTCATCTGGATGATCTCTTTCTCTTTCTCTCTCTCTCTCTCTCTCTCTCCCAGGTGTGCCAAAAGGCAGGGGAGATCTCTTTGCTGAAGCAGCAACTGAAGGACTCCCAAGCTGACGTCTCCCAGAAACTAAACGAGATTGTTGGGCTGCGGACGCAGCTTAAGGAAGGCAAGAGCTTCCTCAGGGAAAAGGAAGAGCAGATCTTGACCCTGAAGGACTCCTACAGCACCAAAAGTGTCAGCCTAGAGATCTGCGAGAACGAACTGCAGCGGAAGATGAGCGAGGTGCAGATGTTGAGAGAGAAACTTAGCCAGTGCGAGGCGGAGGTGTCCAGCCTGAAGCAGACCTTAACTAGCCTGGGAGGCCACCACAACCACATCAACACTGAGCTGTCAGAGAAGCTCACGAGGGATACCTTGGCCTGTGAAAGCGACGAGGCCAAGATGAAGCGGCAGAGCGAGGAGAACCTCAACGCCCTCAAGAAGGAGGTAGAGAGGCTCCAAGCGGAGCTGAAAGCGGAGCGCCAGCAGCGGGAGCAGCAAGTGGCGGACTTTGAAGGGGAGCGTCGCACTTGGCAGGAGGAGAAGGAGAAGGTCATAAAGTACCAGAAGCAGCTGCAGCTGAACTATGTGGAGATGTACCAGAAGAACCAAATCTTGGAGCACAAGGTGAACGAAATGACCAGCAAAGTCACCAGCCCGCCGCACACCGACGAGAAGAAGGCATGGACTCCATCCAGGTTGGAGAGGATAGAGTCCACAGAGATTTAAGGAAAGGACCGAGGTGTTTAAAGTATGTTTGTTTGGGTTTTTCTTTTCTTCTAATTACTGTGCATGTACTTCAGCCGGTGATCTTCCTAAAAAAAGAATATGCTATGTAACCAGCAGCGTAGGTTCGTTTGCACTGGGTCCCTCCAACCTGCTTTGGTGCTCTACAGGTTACTGAAAGTGAAACAAACAAACAAACAACATAACCACAGATGTGCTTTTCATGTTGTATGGATGATCTGACCTGGAGAGTGTATGTGGTTTGTGTGGGGTGGTTTTCAAATTTTTGCTAACTCCATTACACACACAAAAAAAGAGAAACGCATTGGCGATTTCTCTAAAGGAGGACCCCAGGGCTATTTTTGTGGCTTCCAGGGGTCAACGATATACAGTGGGCCTTTGGTATCTGCTGGGGTTTGGTTCCAGACCAGAATCCGTGGATGCTCAAATCCCATTAAATACAATGGCATGGTAAAATGGTGTCCCTTATATAAAATGGCAAAATTAAGGTTTGCTTTTGGGAATTTATATATTAAAAAAATATTTTCAAACCTGCTTGAATCCATGGATTAAAAAATCCATGGATATGGAGGGCTGACTGTATTTTCAAAATAATTATTTTGCCCTCACATGCCCCCCCACCAGGGCATTTTAGCGGCAGAGGCTTTTTAAAAAATCAGGAACTGAACAAGAAGTGGCTTCTGATCACTTCCTATTGTTAAAAAGACCTCTCCTGGCTTACAATTGCTCAGAAACCTATAAACGTGAAGAGACCCGGTGGGAGAAGGAAGCCCTCAGAGGTCTCAGGGTGTGGGCCTCCCACAATTGTCCTCCTCTGTTCTATAGTATCTTTAACCATCATCCTCTGCCACCTTTTGATGTTCTGCTAATGGAGGCACTCCTAAACATAGAAAGAAAGAAGCATCTTCATTTGCCATTTTAGAAAGTTGAAACCCATGCACTTATGCCTCATGCAAGTTTGCCATACCTCCCTTTTAACATATTAGGATGACAAATTGGTTCTTTTAGGGAAGGCAGATGAACCCTCTCCCCTCCTCTATACATACATACAAATGCACATACACACACACAGCTGATTGTGTAACCATTTATCCCTGCCGTCCTCCTGGACTGTCCTTTTTACAGCCCCCCAAATAGTACTGCCTCTCCTAAAAACACCCAGGAGAGGAATTCATCTTTTAAGCACGGCTCCCACCTCTGGCCTCTTTTAACACCAAAGACACCTGGTTTTGCAAAACTTAAAACTGACTTTTGGCCACTCCTGTCCAAGGCTCAGTGTCTATGTTCAGTTCTAGTTTGCAGAAGCAGAGTCATGTTTGTGGTACTATTGGAGACACATTGGTACCCCCCAACATTTCACATTGGGAAATGTACAAAATGAAAACTGGGACACATGTGGTCTCGCAACATCAGAGTGTGGTGAAGATAGCAAAAGTTAATTGTAAGAGATAACAGGTAAGCTAGGAGAGACTGCAACAGTTTGCTTTTGCCTGTGCATACTGGGAAGAGGAAGATTCCTCCCTTTCTTCTCCCCCCTGCTAAGTTAATGGAGTGCAAACTATTTTTGTACTTCAAACATAGTTTGCAGTAATTGAAGTGGGCCAAGGACAAAGGGGGAAAGTGAGTGAAG